CTTTGCACTCAAAAAAGATAATTCTGGGAGATGGAAAGGTTGATCATCTATGTCTAGCTGGGCCATGAAAAGTCAAGAGTGCCCAACGCTTTGCAAGTATCAGCTGGCTTGACAATACAGGGAGTCCTTGACTTACGACTGAGTTCTGACGAATGGCATTTACAACCTTTATAAATGGACACTGTTTTGAGGTTCCGACACAGGTTTCAACTTTACGCCACTCAATACAGCTGCATCCAGCTGGTAAGTCTGTTGTGGTGGAAGGGGAGGAGGCAAATCAATGCCCCAGCAGCAGAAGGACTCTGGCTGGGGCAAGTGCTACCCAGCCGGAGTAGAGGGGTAGTGGGATGAAGGCACAGCTCATCTGAGAGGTGTGGGAGGGGATGGAGCAGCTCCCACCACTTCATGCTGTGGGTCTGGGAGGGCACGGCAGGGGGGAGGGGGGGAGCATGTGCCCCTGGATCTACACAGGGCGAGTGAGGCTGGGGCTGCACTGCATTGCACTCTGGGAGGGCACGGTGGCGCTGGGAGCAGGGGCTAGGCCTGCCGCCACTGACCCAGCCATGGCTGCGGGGGTGGGGGGGTGCGGTGGCTCCTGCTACTGTGCACCATTTGTCTGGAGGTAGCGCAGCAGCTCCGTCCTGCACCAGCTGGACCAGCAGTGGCATGGCCTAGCCCCCACTCCCTACTCCCAGGCCCTGCCCAGAGGGCAGCACGGCACTGCTACTGTGCACCATTTGTCTGGAGGTAGCGCAGCAGCTCCGTCCTGCACCAGCTGGACCAGCAGTGGCATGGCCTAGCCCCCACTCCCTACTCCCAGGGCCTGCCCAGAGGGCAGCACGGCACAGCCTCAGCCGCACCTGCCCCGCACAGATCCAGGGGCACACACCCTGTGCCCCTCACCCCCCCCGTGCCCTCCTGGACCAGCAGTGTGCAGCAGCGGGAGCCGCCTCCCCTCCCCCCTCCCCACAGACAAGCTGTGCCTTCGTCCTGCACCCCCCTGCCCCGGTGTTTGACTTACAACATGGTTTTCAGGAACCAATTGTGTCACAAGTCTGAGGACTTCCTGTACTCAAAGGATTGTCCCAGTCCAGCGTTCAGCTCCACTAGCATGAATCAGATCCTATAAAATTACTGGGATTAAAAAAAAAAAAAAAAGACCCTTATACCCCTGCAAAATGGTTTCTCCAATTGTGGGGCCTATAGAATGTTTTAGCAATGTTGAGAAGGTACGCATTATAGAATAAAATTGGTAACATGAAAGCTATTTCTTCTCCATATTTCCTGAGACGTTCATTGCAACAACTTCTTTATCTAAGTTTTTAATCAAAATTTGCTCCTAGAATACATTTTTCATATGTTAAATATAAACTTGGTACAATAAAAAGCATGCAAATGTACTGAAAAAAATCTGTATAGTGAACAGCCTTTTAAGTTTCACTTGCACAATGCTTTTACTGTTACGTGAAAGGTAATTTCTCTCACAGCTTAAGGCAGGGGTCAGCTGTGTGTGGCCTGCAAAGCCACTGCATCCAGCCCATGGAACCAGAGGTACCCATGCTGGGCAGCTGGAAGCTACTTCCATGTTGCTGCCACTTCTACCCATCCTGTGCGAGTGTGTGTTCACATGTGCATGCAGGTATGCTTTGGGCTTGCAAGTGGACTAGAAGGGGTAGAAGAAGCAGCAACATGGGAGCAGTTTCCAGCTGCCCAGCTTGGCCCCACTGAAGCTCCTTCAGCTGGAAGCTGGGTTCACACTACAGCCAGGGAGCAGGGGGTGCTGGAAGAAGCAGCAGTTGTGCGGAAGCAGTTCCCAGCTGTGCGGCTTCAGCCGGGGTACAGGGAAAACCCCCTTGCTGATGATGTACCGTGGAAGCTACCAGGCCTGTGCAGGGCTGGGGCTGGCTACTTCTAGTCTGAGGCTCAACCCTCACCCCCCAAAATATAAGGTTGTCAGTCCATGCGTTAACGTGAACATTCCTTCAAGGGGGGGGGATACAAAAAAACCCAATCACAATGATATGCTTTCTTGGTCCTCCATTTATTTTGAGAAATACAAAATATGAAAATTAGTTTACAGTTTCAGCACAAAAAGTACTTATGAACAAGCACAAGATGGAATGTTTTAAAAATAATCCTATACATTGTTAACATTTAAAAGTGCCTAGTTTTTCACAGCAAACAACCTTACAGTTCAATTATATTTTAGTAAAATATTAAATTACTTAAATTGCACATAAACACCCTACAGAAAAGTATAGCTTGTGTAACGTTATGATTAAGTCTGTATTTAAAACAGTAATTAGAAGCTACATGGAATGGAAGAGAAACATTTTTGGTTCAACTCTCAAACCTAAACCAAGTTGAAAATTGATCAAAAAAAGGCATATGATGTTGACTAGTTATGGCACTAGTGATTAAATTATGGTCACTTGACAAAAGGTGGTAAAAGGTTTGTTTGATTCTTATTTGCAGCTAAATTTAATAAAGAAACCTGAATCTAAAAACTTCAGTAGTGAAATTGATCTGTGAAGAATCTGTAGGCAAGTTTGCACAGTATTCTTGTTTTCAGCTCCCTCCCACCTTAAAAATGTGTAGGTTAGTATTTGTTACAGTAACTTGAACAGAAATTTGGGTTAAAACATTTTAGATTCTTGTAACCCAGGGGTATAAAAGTCATCTGGACCCACAGGCCAGGTGAGCAGTTTGGGACCAGTCCACAGGCTGGATGAATGGTGTGGGACCAGCCCTGTGGGCTGGGTCAGGCCCATGTATTCCCCTCGCCCCACACACGAGATCCAGTACACATAGTGCCCACTCTGGTTGGTCCAGGACTAGACGCCACATTGGCTAGAGCAGGTGCCACATCAGGGACCCAGTGGAGAAAGACCCTGGCACCCTAGGTACTTTGCTACTGCCACAGGAACAAGCTGTAGTGCTGCTGGAGCTCCACTGCTACTATTTTCACTCATGTGCCTGGCAGCCAAGCAGGAGCCTCAGCAGCACCGTGGGAAGTCTGGCACTGCTGCTTCTTCCCACAGCTACAATCAATCACCTGGCCACAAGCCTCAGCACTGCAGAAAGAAGCCTGGTATCATGGGTGCTTGGCTGCTGACAGGAACCAACCACAATACTGGGCTTGTGCCCAGTGGCTGTTACCTGGGTGGCTGGCTGCTGCGCCAGGAAGGTCCCTTATCACAGCCAGGATTGGGACAAAGTCTGTGGACCAGATGACCTGGCTCCGTGGGCTGAATTCCACCTAAGGGTCATCTGTTTGACACCCCTGCTGTAACTAATTACTGCATTCAATTACAAAATGTCATAATACTAATGCATGTGAAGTCTGTCAATTAGTAAGTAAACCAAGTGCAGTAGTTTGCACCAGCAAAAAAGTAACCCTTAGATGTTGAGGGCTTTTTTTTAAACTTGGTTCAAGCAACTACAATAGCCAGAAGATCCAATCTATAGAGACTTCCATACAGGAAGAAGCTTTACTGAATATGCAGTGTTACATATAAGCTTAAGCCTCTGCATGAGTGGATCATAGTATCAAATTCATCCAATAGTCTCTTACTTCTTAAAACACCTCTGCCTCATAATTAATCATTTATACCCAAGATTTACAAAGTGACTAGTTAGTCAAGGGTGCCCAGCTTGAGAAACTTTAAATTTGCTCTCAGCATTTTCTTTAGAAAAATAAGTATTCTTTACCATGTCAAGTTCAGCATTGAGAAACTGAGGCACTTGGAATCTCTAGTTATTTAAAAAACTTGGCCTTTATGCTTCTGATGCAAATCACATGCACTTTAGTTTTGACAGAAAACATTAACTCACCAAGTCAGTAATTGGCTTAAAAACGTTTCTATAAATCATGCATTTGATTCATATCTGAAACCTACACATTAATAAGAGAGCTCATAGGATCCTAACAGCATAGCTGTGTTGGCTTTGAATAACCATGGAGACATCAATTGCAGAGGTTATCCTAAATGCTTTGTAATATGCAATCTGTATTAAGCAGCATAAAATAGTTAATGTACATGCAGAATAGATTATTCTGCTGTAAGAAACTCAGATGTTTAGAAATGCAACAACACCTACTATTCTCAAAACTAATCATATGATTAGAGGCATGCACAACTTCAAACATATTTATTTAGGAGACACTAGTTGGCAGGGACCCAAACTTTAGGCTTTGTAAACATCTCACAAAACCTAATCTACATCCCAAGGAGAGTGAAATGGTTTTAAATGTTTTGCCGGACAGTGTGAATTTTCTCCTATGTATTTGTAAAATGAACCGTGCCAGTGCAAAAAACAAAACAAAACAAAACAAAAGTAAAAATGCATCAATTACACTGGGTGGAGGAAAAGCTTTGCAGTTACATTTTGAAGTTCTTCCACAATTAAGGATCAAAATACAAAGTTATCCTACAGCATCCCATTAAACAATTCTTTAGGAAGAGGGTTTAGAATTATGCAAATGCTCTTTTTCTCATTAAAAACAGCAGCAATTTTGTCAAATATCTGGTTAGAAAACCAATTCTTGTCAAGTGCAAATACCAAATTTTACTAGCAGTTTTAAATTAAGACTTCTGATTGATCATGGAAAACCTGACATCTAAGATGTAGCAGTGCTAACAAATATGAAGGATGCAGCTTTTGCAAAAAGACTCATCATAGGCACTTACTGTAATTGTCCATTAAATGAACAGTATATACTGCACCCTTTTTATACCATCATTGTTATAAACCAAGCATTTTCAATGTTGGAAACTTTAAATTGTTAGAAGATACTGTTGTGTTCACTGTCCTCTGGTACAGATGTAGAACAAACTTGACTCATTACAATGTGCATATAGCAACAGCTAAAACAGAGAGAGAGTGTACTTTTAAACCAGACCTTGCCATCCTAAAAAAAAAAAAAAAAGTGTATTCATATCCAGGAATAACAATTAACCTA